CCACGTTTGGCTCCCCCTGCTCAGCGGGGAGTCTGTGTCTCCCTCTTCCTCTCCTTCTCCCTCTGTCCCTCCCCTGCCCATTCTCTCTCTATCAAATAAATAAATAAAATCTTTAAAAAGAAAAGAGTTCTGAAAATAAATGGGAGAAACTGCCTTAAACAAAGCCTAGTAAGATAGGCCAGCTAACTTTGGCCCAGGGACATAACCTCTCTAAACGTTCTTATTCTCTAATATGGGGATATTCATGGCTTTTGGCTCACAGGGCTGTTGTGGGGATAAAATGGGAGACTGCATTTAAAACTCAGTACAGTGCTTGGCACATTCTAAGTACTCAACGAATATCAGCTGATGGCCTATTATTATTATTAGCAGGACCTACAATTTGTTACACTTCTTCCGTTAGCAGAGCAAGGTTTGTCAGGATCTCCTGCCTGTGGGTTTTCGTTAACTACACGAATGCTAACAGAGATCTGTTTAAAACTCTGCAGCCCAGCTCCTGGGCTCCCAGCGTCCTTCTCTCTCAGACCCTCGGAACAGGGGCGTATATAGCATAGAAAGAAGGAGAGGAACAAAGTCTATCTCTCCTTTTCCCTGGGCACGGGCATTTTTAGAATAAAACCAAAATCTATCTCATGAGCCACATTTTGAGTTTAGAAAAACTCCCACCGATCCAGCAGCTGTAACCTTCGTGATTTCAGTATGTTTTGCTCGAACCTGCAGCATCTTGGCTATTATTCTGCTGCACAAAATCACTGACGTGATTCCCTGGTGAAGCCCAAATGAAGGGTTTGGACAACAAACAGATTAGAAATCTGGCATCTTTACAGAAACAGTTAAAAGACTGAATGCACAGCAGAACTGAAAACAAATAAAAGAAAACTTGCTTTGGTCTCCGGGGGGCCCCAGAAGTTCTTCTCTTGACAGACGTCAGCCTTCTCCCAATTAGAGCTCATCAGAAAGCCATCACACAGTAATTAAAACACAAACAAACTGACCCGAAGAACTTCCCGAGGCGGCTGCCAGTGCCTCGCTGTGTCCGCTACAGGACTGACAAGACCGGGATTTTAAACTTTGCAGCCTTCTTCACGCTCTCTCTCTCTCTCTCACGTATGTTGCTTCACGGGGCCCTTAGCACCTTCACATTCATTCTCTCTGATGTTCACAAGGACCTTGTGGAGCGCACCTGCTTCTGTAGGCAGGGCGTGTGGGCCTGCCTCCGTTTCTCTACCGCATGGTGCTTCCTCCCACCGAGGGCCTTTGCACCTGCTACTCCCTCCGCCTCCACCATCTTTCCTCCCCTCTTCACCCTCCCACCTCCTACTCATTTCCAAGATCTTGGCTTGAAATTTCCCTTCTTCAGCAGAGCCTCCTCTGACCTCCCAGAACTAGATCAGGAGCCTTCTAAACACACTCCCATTGCTCCCAAGCTTTGCCTTCTCTGCATTTATCACAGCTTGTTGTTGTATTTACGCTTCTATTTGATTAAAGTCGGTCTCCCCTCCTGATAGTGAACTTCACCGAGGAAGCAAGCACTCCTGCCTCGTTCATGTTTGAGCACCCAGCACATCACAGAGAACCTGGCACATAGCATGGCCCCAGTTTGAATGTATGAATGAGAGACAGAATAATTATTCTCATTTTGCAGGTGAAGGAAGAGACCCAGAGAAGGAAGTCACTTCTCAAGGTCACAGCCCATCCACAGAAGTGCTGGTGCTTGAACTCAGGAGTCCTGGCTCTCCTCACTTCTGTGCTGCCTATGAGGAGAGTTTTCTTGCCATTTCTGGGGAATATCATGCTGAGTCCTGGTACCCCCACCCAGGGAGGGTATCCAAGACAATCAGAGGCCCGGCTTTCAGTGGTAGCAGAACGCTCTTCTGGCTGCCACCCCGAAGACACTCACAGCCCGAGTCAGCATGACTCTAGCATGGGATGGCCTGGTCCCCCTCACTGTACAATCACACAGCATCCCTTGAGGCAGGTCCTTGAACGCCCTGCAATTACTCCCACTCTCCCAGGAGCCAGGAGGGAAGGAATGGGGATAATTAAGGAGGAGGGTGATAGGCCCTTCTTCATTACCAAAAATATCTCCCACTTCCTGCAGGCATCTCTGTGGTAGGTTTGATTGTGGCTTCTCTCGAATGATCACCAAGCTGTTCACCTCATCACTTAACCCTTGCAGCATTCTATGAAGTTCTGGCCAGAAGCAAGGCTTAGAAGATTCTGATACGCGAGGATGTGAGCTCCGGGAGGGCAGAGAACTTGCCAGACCGGCTCACTGCTACATCTCCGGTTGTTAAGGGAGCACTGGGCACACAGGCAGTGCTCAATAGGTATTTGTTGAATGAATGAATGAATTAAGAGCTTTCCATGTGTCATGAACTTATCATATTTTGTAGGGACTGTTAATAGCCTATTCTACCTAGTTACCAGGCTAGGTAACCGAGGTTCAGTGTTAAGAGACTTGCCCAAGGTAAAAAAATTTAGTAAGCAGTGGAGCCAGGATTCAAGGCACCAAATGGGGAGATTAGGATTGGGAATTCAAGCAGGGAGATAAAGATGTTGATTATTCTAGTGATGTGAGTGAGAGAATAGTTTCAACACTAGGAAATGTGTTTATCAGGAAAGGGGGAGAGAAATACCATGCAACGAATTTCCAAACTAAGTGCACAGTCCAGATTCTCTTGGTGATCAGGGTCCACGAAGACATCATGCAGTGTGCTGAGACTCTGGGGGACTTCCCAGCACATAACCCAGCGTCCTGCAGCAGAAGCGCTAGGGATCAGTGCTGATGAAAGAGGTAGGTCCAGTCCTTGTAGGGACGTAAGTAGCAGGCAGATCCCGGGTCCCAGGAGGTGAGGTGGAAAGAGCCCTGGGGTGGGTGTCATAAAGCCGGTTTGCCCCTAATGCTCTACCTCTCTCTGGGCCTCACAGTTCCCATCTATACAGTGAGCATTGTTACTTAATAGTCTAGGGTGACCTCTGGGACCCTTCCATCTCCAGTGCCTGTCTGACTGTACATATAAGTAGGTAGTTGTAAACTCAACAGCATCTTAGAAATGGTCACCTAGTCCATCCAACAGAGAATTCCCGCTCCAGCATTCCCAGTAGAAGGTATGAGATTCTCTTGACTATATTTAGGCCAGTGGTTCTCCACGGAGAACAATTTTGCCCCTGCCCCCCCGCCCAGGGCAGATGTCTGGGATATTTTTGGTTGTCACGACTGGAAGGGTAGAGGCCAGGTATGCGACTAAATCCTGCGCAATGCCTAGGACAGTCCCTACACCAAAGACTTCTCTGGCCCGAAGTGTCGACGGCGGGAAGGCTGAGAAACCCTGATCTAGGCAAAAGCACGCATTGCAGGGTGAGGGACCTTGCGGCCGGGTCACTGCGGCTAGCACAAGCGTGACAGGGAGACACACTCTGTGACTGCTTCCCAGGCCTTCTGCCTTGTGGGGAAATGTGGAGGAGGGGCCCGCCTGTGGCTACTCAAACATCTGGGCATGCCTAATCACCCAGCAAGCCAACTAACCAGTCAACAGTGACCACCTGGAGAGGGAGTACTTAGTGGGGTCAACGTCGGGAGCAAAAGGTCTCCCAGAGAAGGCCAAGGACTCCACTGCAAGCTGGAGGGGACCGGGATGGAGGGAGTGTGTTAAGTTGTGGGTGGGGTCAGGGGCACCTGAGGGGGTCATGAAGTCGGTAGTGACCCACCTGGGGCTAGAATGGCAGGATTTCCAAACGAGGGCATGGGAGACTGGAGTGTGCCAGGACACAGGCAAACAAAGAGCAACAACAAGGACGCAGCAGGGCATGAGTTCGCTGTCTGCCCCTGCCCCCTGCTCTGCCTGACTTCTCACCTCATCTGCTCCCCAGCTACGGTCTCCCACGCCTGCCGTTTCCTTAGCCGCCTCAGAGCCTGGCAGATTCTGTCCCCTCAGGGGGCGTATCCCAGCCCACCCATCCTTTGGGTCCCAGCTCCTGGCCCTTCCTCAGGAATCTTCCTCGACATTCACCCCACACATTAAGTGCTCTCAGAGTCCCATACCTGCCCCCTTCATGAAGCTTATCACTATGGATGGTTATCTGTGGGATTCCTGACTGTGGGCCCCCCCACCCCGTGTGGGGCGGGGGCTGGAACTCACTAAGGACCCTGGGGCAGAGCCCGCACAAGGTAGCGTCTCAAGAAATGGTTGTTGAGTGGATGGAGAGGCAATTGCACTCGGGCTCTGACAGCTGAATGTTGGGTTTATTCAAGGCTGGAAATAGAAAGGCAGTCTGAGACCTCAGTGAGAGGGTCCTGAATGCTAGGCTGAAATGCCGGTACCTACAGTGGTGGGCAGCCAGGGGCCCTGAAGACAGGGATCCGCCGAGAACACTACAATGTCCTGGGAGGATGGACTGCGCTGAGGTTGGAGCCTAGAACAGAGCCTGGGGACTGAGTGGGAGATGGGCAAGAAGCCTGGGGCCAGAGGGCTGGGCCCTGGGAGGTGGCAGAGGGAGACCAGTCCCTCTTTGCTTCTTGGAGACTGCTGGTTCCCTTCCATTTCTTTTCGTGTACCCCAAGAGTCTGAGGGGAGACCCGAGCAGCAGCCTGTGGTGGCGCTCTGAGTTGTGGGGGGCGGGAGAGGGAGGTGGGGTAGGGGCTGTGATGCTGAGGACGTCCCGCAACACTCGCATCTTTGTGAGGTTCTCTGACCCCTTGGCCTGGTTCTGCTCCCACTTCCGTGCCCAGGCGGAGCCAGGGGAGTCTGCTCAGAGCCCTGCCCTGGAGGCAGGCCAGCTGAACAGCGGGTGGAGGCGCACAGGGACGGGAGGCAGATTACATGTCACTTCGTATTAGCCACACCGGCAACTTTCCCATACCACCCAGAGAGGGGCGAATTAATTGCAATTTTGAGGACAAGCCAAAAACAAAGATAACACCGAAATGAAGGAGATTGTATCTGCCTTTACAGACGCGGGTGGACAGCGATGCCTTCCAGAAGGTCAGGTTTGCTTACCTGTGAGGTACATCTCCTCTCCTTCCGTGAACATCTGGTGACAGCGGACGCACCGGGCACAGGTCGGGTGGTAGTGCTTCCCTCCTGCCTGTGGAAATAAGAAGAAGGAAGAGGAGGTCAGAGCTGGGGCTGCTGTGCACGGGGCAGGTTGGGCTTGAACATCTCCTAGGCACATTAGCGTTGCTGGTGACTTCATGACCCTAAGGTTGGTTGGGAGTCAACCTAGGGGAGTCCAGAACCATCTAAAAGCCCACCCAGGAAGCTTGGTGACTCCATACCATGGGTCCCCGAAGGCAGTTCAGGGGACTTCCCTGGACCCCTGCACTTCTATTTTGGCAGTGAAAGGACCCCTTGGAGGCCACTGGTCCCACCTCCTCATTTCTAGATGAGGAAACAATCTTGCTTTGAGGACACCCCAACATTTCCCCAAGAATGGGGCCCTTACCACTAGTGGTACCTGAGTGACTTTGAGTGGTACATGGACCTGGGATTTAGTAACATGGGATCAATGAAGAAAAGGACCTCCTTTTCACTCCTCTGCCAATTTTTCCATTTTAAAAAAATTTTATTCATTTGAATACACCCAACATGGGGCTTGAATTCACAACCCCGAGATAAAGAGTCATATGCTCTTCTGAGTCAGCCAGGCGCCCCCAATTCTTCTGGTTTTCTCAAGGAGAGAGTACCAGTTTGGTGCTACTGTGTCTTTAACATCTATCTGAAACTTACTAACCTACCTTTTTAAGAATGAGAATACGTTTGAGGCTTGGTGCCTCCACAAGCAGTAGAATCCAGTTAGAGCTATATCTGTGTGTATATACATATATATACGTATATATGTATATACGTATATATATGTATACATATATATATATGGTGACTGGCAATATAGCAAGTGATCTTGGTTTTCTTGTTACATTTTTTTTTTTTTATTTGTAAGTGAGTCAACTTAAAGACAAATGAAAGTATTAAGTAAGAATTCATATACAAGGTCCATAGACATGGCAAAACTTCTGAGAGTGGCACGTGAAGGACAGGTTTTTAGGGCTTGGTGGACAAAAATGGGCCCCACAAAGGCAGGACCTGCTGGAGAGTCTCTAACCCTGAGGCTCCGGGCCTGCGATGGCAGCACCCCAGTACGTCTGCCCCATCCCCCACTCACCCCAGTCTGGTTTTGGCGAGCCCCTTGACTATTCCCACTTTCCTTTCCTACGACTACTTCAAATAGAAATGGAAATTATTTGCAGCTGCAAATTCTTCTATGGGGGAAGAGACAGGCTCAGAGAAGGTTATGCCTCTAGGTGTCACTGGAAACCAGGAGCAATAGCAGCTGGACCCGGGAGGGCAGGTCACCCGGGAGGACAGGTCATCCATGTAGCACTCACTTCCACGCTGACCGTTCTGACACCACAGTCCCAGCCCAGAGGACTTGGTATGCAGGGGTCCTTCAGTGGTGGTTCCAGACTCTCCATATGGAGGAACTCAGCTCAGCGATGGGGCTGGAAGGTGGGGCTTGTTTTGAAGGTACACCTGACCCTTGAACAACATGGGTTTGAACTGCGTTGGTCCACTTACAGGTGAGTATTTTTTTCAACAAATAGAGCACTGTAAATGTGTTTTCTTTACCTTATGATTTTCTTAATAGCATTTTCTTCTCCCTAGCTTACTTTATTGTAAGAATACTGTTATAGAATACATACATCACACAAATATGTGTTAATCGATGTTTATGTTATGGGTAAGGCTTCTAGTCAACAGTAGGGTATTAGTAGTTAAGTTTTTGGGGAGTCAAAATGATACATGGATTTTCAACTGTGTGGGGGTCAGTGCCCTGAACCCTACATTGTTTAAGAGTCAAGTGTATATTTTGCATGTTAGGGCAAGGTGAATTTGGGGGGATATGCCTGAGGAAAATTGATGGATATTGAGGGATTGTTAAAGGCCGCTTCCCAAGCCATCACTTGGTGGGATGCTAATGGGTTCCTTCCAATTCAAAAATTATAACTGAATAATGCTGAAGGCTTATTTCTGAATCTTTTTTGGGCATGGTGGATGGGTAGGCATGGGCTTGCCTATTCTGGAGATACTTGATTTATTCTAAGAAGTTAGCAAGAATGAAGAAAGGGCAGATTTTTCAAAAAATAACAAAAAATCTCCAGTGTTCCTTATTTCTGTCTGCTTTGTGTGGCTCCCACCAATGATAAAATGCCCTTTTCATCATCAAAGCAAACTGTGTTCAAACTTTGGAAGGAGCCTGCTATTTTCCCAAGCTGAGATGTCGTGGGACTGACTCTCTCCTACCATGACAGGGATAATCGGTTTAATTAGTAGCCTCTTCCTACTTTGTGTCTCTTTATCATTTCAATTATAGACCTGTTTTCCAGGGAGGCAACAGCGCCTCAGCAAAACCGAAGCTTGGCATCTTCCGAAATGCCACGCCCCATCACCCCACCCGGGCCGAGAGACGCCGCGCACCATCTTAGCGACAACTTGGAAGCAACTTGAGGGAGGGAGGCTGCCAGAGCAGCCGGCACCCAGCATAGTCAGCGAGGTAAGATGGGACACTCTGTTAAGAAACCGAAATCAAGAAAACAGTGCAGGAAAACGGGGCATATCGGAGAGGGCTGAGAACCAGAGTGAGGTCAGGAGAGGTGGTACTGGGCAGTGTTGTTCTCCTTGGAGAGGACACAGACTAGGAAGAAAGAAGTGTGACTGTCATTCAGCATGTTGAGCTCTGTCACTGAGGAAGTACTTGCGGGGTGGCCTAGGGAGGGAATGGGAAAGGGGAAATGGAATTTAATTACGTACCTATTGTGTCCCTGCAAATGTCCTGGGCCCTGTAGTGGGCAAGTGTTATTTTTGCCTGGCCAACATCCTTCTCCCTTCTTCCAGAAACAGCACCAGGCCTTACCTGAGTGGGACTACCCATTCTCCACATCAGTCTGTCTGGTTAAGTAGGGCTGACCCCACCAATAAGTATATTCCAACTCTATGGTCATAGTTATTGGTTTGGAGACTGGTCTGAGATTGTCCAGTGAGAGCCAGTCCTGGGCTGAGCTATGAGAAAAGAGAAGCTCCCCTTCCCCTGGGGGATGCTGTCTGATAGGATGTAAGCCTGGAGCGACTGGTGTCCAACTCTCCCATCATGGAGAGCCTTCCTGAGAATAAAGCCAACACAGGACAAACTGGAGCCAGGATGGCAGGATACTCCAAATGCATTCATTTGAGCACTGGATCCAGCTGCGCCCGAAGCAAGACCTCCCTCTGGGCTTTTTATTATGGGAGCTGATAAATTTCCTTTTTGGCCTGAGCCATTTGAATATAATTTCTGCACTTGCAACCAAAAAAGTCCTTACTACCTGTAAAGACACTCCTGTATGTGTCCTTTACTCTCACATGACTACCCTACTCATAAGACGTCTGACACTAGATGTGTGCGTGTGTGTGGTGGGGGGGTTGTTCCATAGCAAGCAATTTTCTGAGACACCAGCGGGGTGCCCTACCACTTAACTCAGTTCTGACACTATTTACCTGGAAAGAGCGTCAGACCCCACAGGTTAAGGGCTCAGGCTCACAAGGCTGCCCCTCCCCCACTTCAGATGCCAATCCCAAGTCCCAGGTTGTAACCTGTGCTTCTGGCTGACTGGCTATAAATTGGGGTTCCCATGACCCCCAGGCTGGGTTCGATAATTTGCTAGAATAGCTCACAGAACTCGGTGAAACACTTACATTTACTTAGGATAGAGATGAATATCCAGCTGGAGGAGATTTGTAGGACAAGGTGTGTGGGAAGAGGCTCGGAGCTTCCATGCCTTCTCCCCACACACCACTCTCCCAGAACCTCCATGTGTTCAGCATCCTGGAAGCTCTCCAGACCCCATCCTTTGGGGACTGTTATGGAAGCTTCATCTTATAGGTATGATCCACCATTACCTCAGTCTCCAGCCCCTGTCTCTCCCACTCTTGGCAGATGGGAGGTGGGGCTGAAAGTTCCAAGCTTCCAATCATGGCTTGGTCTTCCTGGTGATCAGCCCCCAACCTGAAGCTCTCCAGGAGCCCACCTAGAGTCCCCTCATTAGAACAAAAGATACTCTGATCACCCAGGAAATTCCAGGAAATTTAGGAACTCTGCGTCAGGAAGCCGAGTCAAAGACAAATATTAGAACAAAAGATGCTCCTAGTGCTCTTAACACTTAGGACATTGCAAAGGTTTTAGGAGCCCTGTGCTAGGAACTGGGGGCAGAGACCAATAAATATATTTATTTTCTATTATTTTACACTAACATATCCATCAGAAGTTGAATAATAGAATTCGCCATGGTAGATAAAGACTCCAAGTCTTGGAGAAAGTGACTTGCTTCAGGTTTCATGGCCAGAAGTGGTAAAATTGGAATCCAAGTCTGTTCTACTCCAACCATATAGCTCATCACATCATGTGACCTCAAAGACACCCCCCCCCCGCCCCCTCCGAGTGGCTGAGAGCTGTGGGCACATGTATGGGATATAGGAGTCTGGAGTTCTAGATTTTAGTTCCCGCTTTACCAGAAACACTGTGTATGACCTTGGAATAACATCACACGTCTTGGGGCTCACTTTTCTCATCTGTAAAATGAGGAGGGTTAACTAGTTAATAGCTAAAAGTCTCTTCCAGCGCTAAGAAAAAAAAAAAAATCAATCAGTCCCCGATGCTAATGGAGCCTTGTACAAATGGAATCAATCGAAACCTGGTTACAACAGCAGCCCGAACGGAGGCTCCCATGATGCTAAAACACAGTAACACAAGGGAGAAGACAGCCACCGCAGACACAGTTTCAAAGCAGCTTGGAACTGCTGGGATGAATTCCCATCTGCAACCCTGCGTGTGATCCAAATTTCCTCCTTTTCCAAAGAAAAGTCTGCTTTGGGGCGCCTGGGTGGCTCAGTCCATTCGGTGTCTGCCCTGGGCTCGGGTCATGATCCCAGAGTCCCAGGATCAAGTCCCATCAAGTCCCACATCAGGCCCCCTGATCAGTGGGGAGTCTGCTTCTCCCTCTGCCCATACCCTCGCTCATGCTCTCTCTCTCTCACTCTCTCTCTCAAATAAATAAATAAATAAATAAATAAAATCTTTTTTAAAAAAGTCTGCTTTTATGATCTCTCATCCCATGGACCCTTTACCCCACGAGGATGCAGATGCCTATAACCCCTATAATCCTGCAGAGCTGAAACTGTCCTGAAGGTTACCTTCCCTCCCCCGTCACCAGCCTTTCCTCAGCCCACATAGTCCCCAACTGCTCTACAGAATCTGACCAACGCGGGCGGACCTCGCTCTCCTTTCTGAAGTGCTGTCCTCTTGTGGCCTGGCCCCCATTCTCCCCTCACAGCTCTTCCTCTTTCTCTGACAACTCCTCAGTATTCCCAAGCCCATAAGTAGTTATTCCCCAAGGCTGCCTTCAGCCCACTCTTCCCTCCCTCCCCCTCCCTCTCTTCCTCTCTCTCTCTTCCTCTGTTCCCCCCCACCCCCAATCCCGGTGACTGCCCTGGTGCTGACTCTTACGCAAATCCTAGCCTTTCTGAGATTATTCCTTCCACGCCTGAGCTGTGTTCCTGAGCTCTGCTCCACATTTCTGACTGCCTTCCTGAAACCTTCCCGGAATTTCAATCACAACCTGTCCCGAATGGAACTCACTGTGTTTCTGCCCAGATCAGCTTCTTTCCCTGCCACCCCCAGTTCCACAGAGAATAGCACCAGACTTCCTCTCATCCAGGCTTGATGCTTTGGTACAACTTCTGGCCTCTTTTCCTTCAGTCCTCATGTCTACCCGGGGCCCCACTGCAAAGCTATGGGAATTCCGCTCCCATCATGCGGGAGGCAGGTGGGTGCTCTGGCTGCTGCTACTATAGATCTTGAGTCCTGCCCGCGGTGTCATGGCCTCCTCGCTTGTCTCCCACTTCCAGTATCTTTCCTCCGAATGTAACCCATGTCCATCACATCATCCATCTCTAAGGAGCAACTCTAAGGGGATCGCTCATGCTCAGTCTTTCCACAATGCCTGTTGCCCAGTGACTCCCATACAAACTCCTCACCCTGGAATGGGGGCCCTGGGAAACTGGGGCCAACACCCTAGCTGCGCTCCTGTGTCTTGCCTTCTCCTCCACACCTCACCCCTACTGCTCCCTGGAAAGCTTTAATGGTTTATCAGCTCTGTGCCTTTGTCTTATTCTCTCTGACTCCCTACAATCTTACCACGTTGCTCCTCGGTTTAAAACTCTCCAATACCTTTCCATTGCACTTACTACAAAATCCAAACTCCTAGACGGCTACAAAGCTCTATGTGGTATGCGCTGTGTGATAGACCATCCTCCCTGAACCCCAGTTTACATAATTCAGCCACACTGGCTTTTTTTCTCTGTTCCCTGAATGGGTCAAGCTCTCTTCTTCCTTTAGGGCATCAGAACACAGCCTCCTTCTCATCCTCGGGGCTCAGCTTCAGTCCATCTCCTGGGCTCCTCCTTCCCTGGTTACAACACTCTCTCCTGCTGGGCCCACATGTGGCTGCAGAATCCTTCTCAACACAGGGCTGACTGCAGGTGACCACCACCAACTGGACAGCTTTGACACAATTAATGATTTTGCTCGCAAGAGCTGCCCCAGTCTGCCGTCCCCCAGCCACTGTCAGAAGGGAAAACTGAGGCCTAGGGAGGCAAAGACACTCACCCCAAATGTGAGCATGAGTTAGCAGTTGAGTCAATATCCGAACCCAATTGTTCCTGGTCTTAGGCTATTGTCTGTCCTCTGCACCAGACTCTTTCCTGTTTTTAATTCCTCAAGGTGGGTGGTCCCAAAGCATAGGAAGACAGCTTTCTGGGCCCATAGGGTGTGGGAAGGAAGGCCAGGAAGGGCGACACACAGGGAGCTGGGGCAGGGGCTCAGAAAGGGTGCCGCGGGTTGCTTGTTACTGGCAGAGCTAGCTGTGCATCGGAGGCAGGGGAGAGCTGTTGCCATGGCGATGGACCAGCCAAAGCAGGGCGCAGGGAGCAAGCTGCTAGACAAGCTGGTTCTTAAATCAGCACATTACCGAATGCTTAAAAAATTAAAAATGGCTTCCATCCTTTAGCAAGGTTGGGAAGAAAACCATAATTGTCCCTCCCCAGTAATCTATCTGGGTCGGAGTCCAGAGAAGCCACTGATATTCCCAGCACAGCATTTTTGGAGCCAGGAATAATTTTTTTTTTAAAGATTTTATTTATTTATTTATTAGAGAGCGAGCGAGAGAGAAACAGCATGAGAGAGGAGAGGGTCAGAGGGAGAAGCAGGCTCCCTGCTGAGCCGGGAGCCCGATGTGGGACTCAATCCCAGGACCCTGGGATCATGACCTGAGCCGAAGGCAGTCGCTTAACCAACTGAGCCACCCAGGCGCCCGAGCCAGGAATTATTTTGTCCAGCTTCTCATTTTAGGGGTGTCCGAAGACGCAAAGTTATCTGCTCAAGTCATGTAGCAAGCTAAGCTGAGGTCAAGGCAGCAGGGGAGGGGGGGTGCTATGGACGAGGGGTCCTCAGTGACGCCCTTTTGGAGTCACAGGCCACCCTGTGCAAACATCTTCACAGTTACTTGGACCCACTCACCTCCAAGACCCTGCCGCTGATGTATCGGTCACAAGTCTCGCATTTAATGCCAAACTGGGAGTGGTAGTCGGACTCGCAGTACGGAATGCCATCCCTGCAAGAGGAAATCCACACAGGGAGAGGAAGTTGGGGGGGGTGGTCCATGGGGGGTGTCACATGTGAGTTCCTGGACCCGCAGCCAGTGGTGACTGGACCAAGATTAGAAACACTTGGGGAGTTTGTTAAAAATGCAAACTCCCCAGACACCCCTCAGATCTATGGAATCAGAGATCCCCTGGGAGGGGGGCCCAGGAATCTGCCTCTTGGCAAACTCCCCAAGTGCACCTGGGAGCCACCGGTCTGGGCTGCTGGCCATGAATATCCCTTTTCTGTTCCCCTTTCTATTTTTCCCCCACAAGTTCTCCAGACCCACTTTCTTCTCTTTATCCCAAAGGGTTCTTGTAAAAATGTATTGTAAAAATGTATGAAGTTTTATTTTATTTAGAATGGGTAGTATTTGCATTTGGCACATTACAAAGGCATAAAGGGAAAAGTCTTCTCCTTCCTCCCAGCCCCTTCTAGGAAGTCATCAATGGGGTCAATTTTTGTGCAGAGCCTTCAGGGCTCCTCATCTGATAAAAGATTTTACCTGTAGTGAGGGAATCATCTGACTGTGCTCTCGGGTCAGGCGATAAGTGGAACCTACCCTAACCACTTCCGATGTGTTTCATTTTCGCCCGGTGCTTCCAACTTATCAGGCAGTAATAAGATTATTGTGAATTATTCTTACACTACTTTCTGCTACTGATAGCCACGGATGCTGATTTCTCGGTGTGGCAGGCTCTCTGATGGTGTTTCACATAGAGGATTTCACTGAATCCTTACGGCAGCCCTGTGAGGTCAGAACTATCAGTCTCCCCATCGTGTTGATGAGAAAACTCAACTCAGAGGACCTGAAGCTGGATTCAAACCCAGGCGGTCTGGGTCCTCCCCGAGGTGGTCCTGCGGCCGGAAGGACATGGCTGCCGTGTGCCCCGGGGCTCAGGCTCAGTGCCTGGCCTCTAGTGAGCACACCGCAAATGGCAGCCAGAGGAATCTCCATGATTGCGGAGAGGGGTCTTCAAGGAGGACATGGAGGTAGCTGGGGACGTCAGACAGCTCACCCCAGCTCTGGGCCCTGCCTGGCTCTAAGGACCAGATCTGACGACACGGCTCTGTGCTGCTAATGAGCCCAGGAGGAGAGAGGGACACTTCCCCCATTTTTGGGTGCAACAGAACCAGCTGACGCAGAGAGGCCTGAAGGACAGGCATGCAGTTGTTTCATCTCCAAGTTGTTGCCATGCTGGGCTTGCTGGGAGCCCAGCCTGTGTGGCAGGGAGCGTGTGTTCTCTTGAGGGGGAGGGAGCAGTGACGACCAATGCCCAGTAAGGCCAGCGGTCAGACTGTTGTTGGAAGGCCCCCGAGACAAGCCTCCTCCCACCCCTGCCAACACTTCCACACTCCGTGGGTGTGGGAGGGTGACTTTGCAGGGGGACAAAGTCATTTGTCAGGAGGTGGGTACAGTGCGCCAGCAACATTTGTGTATAAATGCCAACCCCACCTCGTTTGGACCCATGGATTGGGAGGCCTTGGGGAATTTGAAATATCCATGATTCTAAAAAGAGGCAGATGGTCAAATTAGTATTGACTAGACACTTACTAGTATGTCTGAGCCTTTGCACCACCCTACGAGGTAGGTCTGCTCATCCCTGTTTTTATAAACGAGGACATAGACTCAGAGAAGTTAGTCCTTTGCCAAGGTCACGGAGGCCGGGCTTCTAACCCAGGCATCAATGCCAGAGGCAGTGCCTCTAAGTGCCCGCCACTCTGCCAGCAGCCAGATGAAGAGCCCAGAGCCAGGCTGCAGAGGCCTTAGGTGGAATGGGCAATGGGGGTTGGGCCTTCCTGAGAGGAGCTCTTTTGAGCAAACCCTACACCCCTGACTTAGGCTCACAGACTCAAGGACTCAGGCTGGTGACTCACTAAGGGCACTTCTTATTTGGCAGGCTTGGAGGGAAATGCCAAGCTCCTACTAACATGGCATTCAAAGCTCTCAGTGATGACCTCAGCTCACTTCTGCAGCCTTGGACCCTGCTTCACCCGCGCACACGTCTGAGCCCTGGCCAACAAGATGGATGTGTCAGGCACCAGCCTGCCCTTGCCCAGGCTGGGCCTTCTGCCTACAAACTTTCCTTCTTTGCATTTTCAAATCTTACCCTCATTTTCAAGGTCTGGCTCAAATAGCGCTATCTTCCGTGAAGCTCTCCCAGATTCCAGATTTCACTCCCTGCTAGTTAGAAGTGCTCCCTTCTTTCTCAGAATATTCGCAGACTGTCACTTGGACCTCTGACCCAGACAGGGCTGTCTGGTGGCATCCATGTCCCCTTTCTGCCCATAGCCTCTCCTGGTTTTCCTTCCCACTCACAGTAACTGTGGGTCACAGAGGGCTGCTCTCTGGCTCTAGGATTCACATCCTCCTGGCCAGTGATTGGTCAGGAATGGGAGTGTGACCCAAGCCAAAGCAGAGGTAGCCATGGGACTCTCGCTGGGGTCCTTGGGAAAGAGGCCTCCGTCTCTCTGCCGGGCTTGCTACGCTGGTAGAATGAAACCCTGGAATTGCCGGTGATCATCTATGCTACCCTTTGGGGAGGGCTTGTTTGAGAATAAACCCAACACAGAGGAAGGGAGAGCTGAGAGAGAAGGGGAGGGGGAGAGAGAGAGAGAGACTTCTGCAGTGCCAGTAACCTCTTTGAGCCCCTGGATTCAGCCGTGCTGGAAGTCAGTAGGCCTCTGGCCTTCCTATTTCTGAGTCAATAAACTCATTTTTGCTTAAGTGAGTTTGAATGGGGTTTTCTGTCGCTTGTGATCTAAAGGGTCTTAAAGAACAAAACTTTGCGCTCCCTATCACATAACTCCTAGTGCCATAATTCTTTATGTATCTAGTTTATCTCCCTTATTAGACTATCACTCTCCTGACAGCAAACTCCATAAATGCTACAGCTTTACGCGCTCACCACGTCCTAGCAGTGGGTCAGCATGCCGCCTCAGCAGTGTCTGGGTCATAAAACATCAACGCTGTGAGGGGCTGTGGCCATCACTTCTTTTACATACTTGAGTATGGGCATGTGGTCATTAGGGTCTAGTGGCAAGGCGGGGGGTTTGTCTGGTGAGGCTCTGTGCAGCCACTGGGGGTGGAGCCCTCTGCTGATGGCTTCGGGTGTCCGTTGTATCTTATCTCAACTCAATTCATTCAACAACTGTATTGTTGGCCAGGGGTTGGGCATGCGTTGAAGGCCGCAGCGGGTCAAACAGAGGCCCCACCTCGGCGAGGACAGACATTAAATACCATCATGGAGCAAGTTACTCACTTCCTCAAGCCTCAGTTTTCACAGCTTTTAAAATGGGGATGGACGCCTCACAGGGGGAGTTGTGAGGTTTAATGCGATAACCCATACACAGCCATTAGTATATCCTTTGTACGTAATAAAAACTCGGTAAATGGTAGCTGGTATTATTATCATTATCAAAAAAGTTAACATGGATGAGTGTATGACTGCAAACGGTGTTAGCCTGTGTGAAGGGAACAAACAGGGCCCCGTGAGGGCTGGTGTTGGGGGAGCGGAGGTGGCCCGGGACAGTATGAGACCGCCTGGGGAGAGCAGGTCCCCTAATGTAGATTCCTGCATTCCACCTAATGCAGGAGTCTACAGCATTCTTGACTGCTTGACCAAGACCAGAGGGAGGGGAGGAGCGAACGCATCCAGGAGCAGGAAGAGCATCCCGGGCAGAGGAGGCCGCGTGGAAGGGCCCAGGGGTTGGGGAGGTGCGGTCTGTGGCTGTGGGAGGGTGGCGGCCGGAGGCAAGTGGAAGGAGGTGGCCTGGGAGATTCCAGTGCGGGCCCCCTGGGGCAGGCCGCTAGAATGCGGGGGTCCCGGAAGCCGGGCGGGGATGGGGGAGACACCCACTTGCTGATGTACTCCCCGGTGAGAATGACACTGCAGGTCTGGCACTTGAAGCAGCTGACGTGCCATTGCTTGTCCAGCGCAAGGAGCGACTGGCCGTGCTTGATCTCCTCCTTGCACCCAGCGCAGTCTGCAAAGACAAGAGGATGCCACTGAGCAGAACATCCTGGGCCGCCTGACCACTGCTATCGTCTCAGTCTAAGTGAAGGAAACCCCTCCCTGAGAACCAGCTTTCCCACAGCAGCTCCCACCCTGGCACGGACGCCTGCCCGGAGCTCTGCCAGGTGAAAGCAAAGCCCCCCGCCCCCCCTCCCCGGAGCTCTGGCTTCTGCACAGGAGGTCTTGGTGTGAGGGAGAAGGAAAGACATGGCGGGACTCCCCCAGAAAATTCCCTGTCATCCTGACCGATGTTTATCGCACGCAGACAGAGCCTGCACCGATTCTCGCGGGCCCTCCAACAGCTAACTAAGCAGGCTACTGTCCGTGCCCTGGGGACTGCACCACCAGCGGCACCTCGGAGTCTGCAGGTGTGCAGCATCTCAGACCCGTCCAGACCTACTGAACTTCACCTAAATCCCCAAGCACAGTCAAGTCTGAGAAGCACTGCTACAGGGGAGGAGCTTAGGATCTAATTTTTCCTACCCTCGGGCTGTATGCTCCATGGCAAGGACCCTGTCTGGGTTTTGTGGTTAAATCTATTCTCTTGCCTTGTGCTGTGCTCAACACATAGTAGGAACTCAGATCATATTTGCTGGATGAGTATAAAGGAGTGGGCCTCATAGTACCGAGGAAAGGGACAGAGTTTACCGTGCCTGCCCCCTCCCCAACATGCTTATAATATGCCAAACATTTTCCTCCAAGGATTAGAGAATCTGGTAAGACCGTCCCAAACCAGAGGGCTGTTCTCACTCCCCATCCTCATCACCCTGGAACGCGCACCAGGGCCACAGAACGTGGGGGTGGGGCATCTGCTTCTTGCTCAATCCGTGTCTGGGGAAGGGCAGGAAATGGAGCCAGCATCCAAGGTACTTGGGAGATGCTGGGAATTCAGGCCTACCCAACCGGATGGCCCACTCTGGAGGAGGAAAGGGTCATGGGACAAAGTTTACCAGAGGACAAGCCTCTCTATGGGCGCCACAAGACAGATGCATACTTTGCAGCAGTGGGGAGAAGAGAAACTGCATATCAAGTTGGGAGAGCCTGGCTGGAAGCCCTCATGTCCAGCTGGGAGCCAGGCCTGGGAGAGAAGATGATGCGTCCGCCTGTCGAGGAAGGGGGTGTGCCCAGCCAACTGTGGGGAGGGTCTGGGCCCTGATGAAGTGCTTGGACGAGGCAACTCCCACAGTTCCCGCCTCTTGGCTCCCTAGAGCCTTTCTAACATCCCTTAGCACAGGCTGGGGGATGGAGGGTAGCCGATTGCAAAATGCCTCAAGCCCCAGGCCTTCAGATGGGGGTTGGGAGAATAGTTTTGGGATTCCTTCTCCTTCCTCACTCCTGGAAAAATTCTAACCATCTCCATCCCGGTAATCATAGGCTTTAGAATGTAATGTAATGCCTGAGACGTCAGGCACCCCCCTCTCCTTTTATAGAAGTGACTTGCCCATGCTCAGCATAGAAGAACCTGAGGGCTCAGGGGTCAAATACTGAACCACAAATACTGAACTTGTGTCTGTTGGCCTCCTTGATAGGGTTAAATAATTCCACAGGGGCTCAGAGTTCCCAGAGCACTTGGTCACAGTCCCACCTAATGCAGGAATCTACAGCATTCTTGACTGCTTGATTGCCTCCAGGGGTAGGAAGCTCACCCCCTTTTGAGGAAGCCCACTTTGCCTTTGGACAGGCATAATTGTCATGAGTGCCTTTTTAATTTTTTTTTCATTTTCATTTTTAAAAATATGTATCACAAAAAGGTTTATTCTTTTTTGTTTTGTTTTGTAACTCCATTTTTAATTTCCTATCTGATTTTTTTTTTATTACAGTATAGTTGACACCCAATGTTATATCGGTCTCGGGCATACAACATAGTGATTCAACAACTCTATACCTTATGCTGTGCTCAGCACAAGTGTAGCTCCCATCTGTCCCCACACACCGCTATTAGGGTATCATTGACCATAGTCCCCACGCTGTGCCCTTCATCCCCGTGACCTACCCACTGCATAACTGGAAGCCTGTGCCTCCCACTCTCCTTCACCAACTTTTGTCCATCCCTCTTCCCCTTCAGATCTGGCAACCATCAGTTTGTTCTCTGTATTTATGGGTCTCTTTCTGCTTTTTTGGTTTGTTTGTTCATTTGTTTTGTTTTTGAGATTCTACATACAAGTGAAATCATACAGTATTTGTCTTTCTCTGTCTGACTTATTTCACTTAGCATTATACCCTCTAGGTCCATCCATGTTGTTGTTGCAAATGGCCATATTTCATTCTTTTTTGTGACTGGGTAATATTCCATGGTATATATATGCCACATCTTTATCCATTCATCAATCGATGGATACTTGGGTTACTTCCATATCTTGGCTATTGTAAACAATACTGCAATAAACATAGGGGTGCATATATCTTTTTAAATTAGTGTTTTTGTTTTCTTTGGGAAAATACCCAACAGTGGAATTGATGGATTATATGGTATTTCTACTTTTAATTTTTTGAGGAACCTTCATACTGTTTCCCACAGGGGCTGCACCAATCCACATCCTCACCAACACTTGTCATGACTGCCTTTTTTTTTTTTCTTGGAGAGGGAGAGAGCGTGTGTGAGTGGGGTGGGGAGGGGTAGAGGGAGAAGGAGAGAGAATCCCAAGCAAGCTCCATGATGGGTGTGGGATTTGATCTCACGACCCTGAGATCATGGCCTGAGCTGAAATTAAGAGTCAGACGCTTAACTGACAGAGCCATCCAGGCGCTCCATGACTGCCTTCTTTATATGGTGCTGAGACCTGACTCCTTGTGATGCCCCTTATTTTATGCAATAAGAATAACCTACCTCTTTTGCCTCCTGACATTTCCTTCAAATATTTAAAGACAACTACAGTTTCTCTCTTCTCCCTCCTTTCTTACACGTCACTTTTCCTTGCTTGATGTGGGGTCATCCACTGATCAACTTCACTTGTCGACCCCGTGGAGCTAGGTATATTAGGGCCAACAACACAATTCCCTACCTCTTCAATACATCTCATTTGAAGAGCTGCATCCTTTTGTGGTGCACATTCTAGTAATGAGTTCCATCTGCTTAAGTTGCAGTGATGCGTCTGGGATGGACTTGGCACCTTGGGTTAAAATTCAGGAGGCAGTACAATGTCGTGGTTAGAGGCTGGGCTGGGAGGACAGAGTGAAGGGTGAGAGGCTGGCTGAGGGCAGAATCCCAGCTCCCTTGCTTACTAGTTGTGTGACCGCTAAGCCCCTGCTTCCTCATCTGAATATCTTCCTTACAACACTGGTGTGAAGATGTACTATCATCAGGCCTGTAAGGACTCAACACACGAGCTCAACAAATGGTCGCTGTCATTCTTATTTCACGTTCTTGTGTTTTTAACCCATATTCTGTGCACTGTCCCACCTCTGATCTGAGGCTAGAAGAATATTCCTGTTGCTGGGAAGGCCTGCGGATGAGGATTCTGGGATGCCTCCTCCACGTGGTTTTTCTTTTCATGGCATACTGCAGGTCCTCCATTGTACTGGCCTCAGATTGATCAGGACCCTTTTCTCCCTCTTCTTCCTCCTTTCGGCCTTGACCTCTGGTGGAGCTTCAGGCATCCACCCAGGAGCCCGTGAGTCTAGTACAACAAACAGGCACGGTAGGAAAGCTACACTCTGCCCCGTGCTGGTTGCTGTGCAGCCAGCTGTCCGCTCCTCATATGTTCCTCTCTATTCCAGAATTACAACCTTCAGCTGGCAGAAAGTACGATGTCACCACCTGTTCCCCCAAATCCCTCAGTTTACTGAGGTCTCTAGAGACTCCAGGCAGCCATTTTTAGTTTTTCTTGACTGTGTCACGCATTCCATTTAGATCAACGAAAATGAGTGGGTTTTGTGAGTCATAGCAGGATCCCTTCCTTGCTTTAGATAACTAATGCAGGAAGACGGGCCCCTGCCCAATTAGCAAGTCATGTCTCTGGTATAGGGTGTGAAGGTAGAATAGGCTCCAGGGCCAGACTGCCTGGGCCCACATTCCAGTTTCATTACTTACTCTCTGTGTGACTCTGGGCAAGTTATTTATACTCTTTGGGTCTCAGTTTTTCTCATCTATAAAACAATTACTTGGTAGTGACAGTTGTGATGGTGATGGTGGTGGTGTGGTGACAGTTGTGATGGTAATGGTGGTGGTGACAGTTGTGATGGTAATGGTGGTGGTGTGGTGACAGTTGTGATAGTGATGGTGGTGGTGTGGTGACAGTTGTGATGGTCGTGACAGTTGTGATGGTAATGGTGGTGGTGGTGGTGTTGGTAGTGGTGGTGGTGACAGTTGTGATGGTCATGACTGTGATGTTAATGGTGGTAGTGATGGTGACAGTTGTGATAGTGATGGTGGTGGTGTGGTGACAGTTGTGATAGTGATGGTGGTGGTGGTGGTGACAGTTGTGATGGTCGTGACAGTTGTGATGGTAATGGTGGTGGTGGTGTTGGTAGTGGTGGTGGTGACAGTTGTGATGGTAATGGTGGTGGTGGTGACAGTTGTGATGGTCATGACAGTGTGATGTTAATGGTGGTAGTGATGGTGACAGTTGTGATAGTGATGGTGGTGGTGTGGTGACAGTTGTGATAGTGATGGTGGTGGTGGTGGTGACAGTTGTGATGGTCGTGACAGTTGTGATGGTAATGGTGGTGGTGGTGTTGGTAGTGGTGGTGGTGACAGTTGTGATGGTAATGGTGGTGGTGGTGACAGTTGTGATGGTCATGACAGTGTGATGTTAATGGTGGTAGTGATGGTGACAGTTGTGATAGTGATGGTGGTGGTGTGGTGACAGTTGTGATAGTGATGGTGGTGGTGGTGGTGTTGGTAGTGGTGGTGGTGACAGTTGTGATGGTAATGGTGGTGGTGGTGACAGTTGTGATGGTCATGACAGTGTGATGTTAATGGTGGTAGTGATGGTGACAGTTGTGATAGTGATGGTGGTGGTGTGGTGACAGTTGTGATGGTCGTGACAGTTGTGATGGTAATGGTGGTGGTGTTGGTGTTGGTAGTGGTGGTGGTGACAGTTGTGATGGTCATGACAGTGTGATGTTAATGGTGGTAGTGATGGTGACAGTTGTGATAGTGATGGTGGTGGTGGTGGTGACAGTAGTGACGGTCGTGACAGTTATGTCAGTGATGCTGATGTTGCTACTGCTGCTGATTCCTCTCAGTGAAAATGTGAGGAAACACTTCTTATTCTTGTAAGAGGTAACACAATTCTTTTCTCTTGATAGTTCCTGAGTATTCTTCTTAATCTCTTTTGAGCCGATAACTGCTCCTGCTGTTCCAGAATGTCTTTATTCACCCTCCAGGGATGAAATGTCACAGCCCTGTAGATCAAAAATACATCAGGTTTTTCCTCCTTCTTTTTCCTTTTCCATGATACATTCTTCATCTTAGCCCTCTTTTGAATCTGGTTTTGGTTCCCTCTATCCTTTGGGAACTCAGCAGAACTTCCAACACCCCCTCTAGTTATCTGCAGCATGGACAGTGACCACCGTTGGGGAGAAAAGGTGTAGATCCACAGCTCGCTGTCTTTACGTTGTGAGTAACAAGATGAGCCATGATCCTGGGTACTCCCCCTGGAGACTGCTTATGTGCTCATTTGCTTCTCATTATTCACTCTTCACCTTCCTCTGCCTTTGGACTTACAGAATGATGGTGGAGACATTTAGTACTTATCCTCAAGGACACGCTCGCATGCAGGATTCCCACACTTGGCCAAGGAACTCTCCCACCTCTCCGAGGTCCCTGATGCGTGTAGTAATGCAGTACAAGCCAAGAGAAAAAACAGATTCAGGAATCATATTCTCTCTTTGGTGTGCTTTCCAGATTAAATCTCCGAGTCTGCAGCATCCTTGCGTTATATTTAGAGAGTATTTTACACACTATGGCGTATGCTAGTCTGGCTCCTGGATACTAATACATTTGCTTTCCATAGAGCTGGGTAAACGGAGCCCCAGCAAGGCTCTGTGTCTGCTGTGTTTTACACAGAGGGTTGCCATGCTCCTGGCTCCAGCCAGCCTCTCTCTACTGCCTCACACGCGGTCCTGCTGGTCTCTGGGCGCCTCCGCAGCATCAGTCACAGGGTCGTGGTCCTGCATCCCAGTATTCCAGCCCTGCTGTCATTCTGCACGATGCTTTCAAGGAATCATGAAAGATAACAGTGTGTTCACTCAGCCACCTCGAGATGGAAACCTGCTCAGACCAGCAAACTGTTCTTGAATGTCACCAAGGACGCTGAAGGAAGTTCTCTGCACATTCCGTGAGCAGATCTGATTAGATCGAGAGGAAGGAAGGGCTAGGGAGGAAGCCTTCCCATTGTCTTTCTCTCCAGCTCACCACGCCTGGCGGGCTCTGATGGAGCCCCTCGGGGCCAAGCCCTGCTGACTCGGGGTGTTCTGTGCTTACCCCCTCGGCAGGATGTGGCCCAGGCATGCAGACTGTCGGTGCCTGCGCCCACACAGTGATGCAGTGCAGGCGGCTAATGGGTTTTCATTGATTCTCCTGTGGAGGCCAGTGGGAGTGTCATGTAATGTGAAAGAACATGGGAGCCTAGCGTGGCTTACGGCAGGCCCCTGGGGCCAGGGCGTCAGCAGCCTGACAAGGGCATCTGGGAACAGTGATTTAGACATCTTACCACTAGACACATTTGAGGGGAATGGATGTTCCATGAATTCGAATGACTGTCCCAAGGTACACTCTTGATCCTCAGTTTCCCCCCAGATCTATAGTTCGGTGATGAAACATAACATTTACTCTGGTGAGGTAGATGTTCCCCTCATCTCTAAATGGTGGTTCTCAGTCTTAGGAGCCGCAAATGCATCACCCAGGAAACTTATTAAGAATGCAGATTTCTAGGTTCCTTTCTTAGAAGTCCAAAGGGGGGGAGGGGTCCCTGGGTGGCTCAGTGGGTTAAGTGTCTGCCTTCGGCTCAGGTCATGATCTCAGGGTCCTGGGATCGAGCCCCGTGTCGGGCTCCCTGCTCAGCAGGGAGTCTGCTTCTCTGCTTCTCCCTCTGCCCCTCCCTGCTCCCCATTCCTGCTCTCTCTCTCTCGCTTGCTCTCTCTCTGTCAAGTAAATAAATGAAATCTTAAAAAAAAAAAAAGATTAAAAAACATTAAAAAAAAAAAAGTCCAAAGTGGGCCTAAAAATCTGCATGTTTACAGTTCTGCAGTGAAGCTGATGCAGTGTTCCTGGGACACTTTCTAAGAGACACTAGCACATCCCTTGTGGTTTGCTTCCATATTTCTCCTTCTTAAGATGAGTCTATGTATACTTTTTAGTGGAATTTGTACAAATTGAGAACCGCTGGTGGCTTCATCAGCCCTGTTAGGGTACCCTGGGGAACATGGATAAGGTGAGATAAGATAAGGGAGCCTAGCTCATCCCAGAAGAGCCCCACCCAAGTGGCCAAACAGGCTGTCATGGTTTATAATCAGCAGCCCGCTTTCCCTGCATTTCTGCTTAAGGAAGCTTGTGAGTCTGGGCTGAATGCCAACTGGGTCAGGCTTCAGGAGTCCTCCAGGGTGGAAACCTCCCCCACTTCCCTCCGGGCCTGCAGGAGCGGATGACGGAGCTGGGACAGGGAGCCCTAGGACACATGGCCCGCAGACAGGGAGGTGCCCACGGCGAGGACTCACGGCTTGGTCCGCGGATCTTGATGGGCTTACTGCTGGTCATGGACTGGGAGCATGTCTGACACACACATTCCTTCCCGCTGAAGGTCACCTTGTCTCCAATGGGGAAAGGCTTCCTACAAGGGAGATGAAAGAGAAATGCAACACCTCTTCTTCACCATGTCTGTTGGTGAGCTGACAGCAGATGTGTTCAAAGCTCATACACACAGCCTGCCTTCTATTATGCCAGGTAAATTCAAGTGCTGTTCACGGTGCCAGGCTGACCAAACCACTCAGTTGGGGGCCGCGACTGGAACTGGAGCCCCACTTGGGCCATTTATATGATTTTAACCCAGGGCGCACCATGACACTTAGTGAAGCTTACATTTCTCATCTATAAATGAATTGGTTAATAATTCCTCCTAGAGTTGCCCCTTCTTTCTGGAAAGACTTTTTCCATCCCAACCTCACCTATCCCCATGTATCTGGAAGAACTCATTCAACTCCTAAATTCACCAAAATGTCTTCCTTTCACTATCCAGGACATTTAGAAATCCACAAATAACCTCTTCCTCTCCTCTGTGTTTGTGCAGTTTGAGTTTCCGAGTTCTGAGGTCTCAAACTGGTCCATGTCCTGCCTCCCTAAACAAAGATAAACTGTACATCGAATCCCTGGCACTGTTGAGCCCATTGTTCAGCTGCTCTCGTGCATGAAGTCAGGGACAGCCTGTTATACAGACTCTGAGTGCCCCTGACATAGGCTTCCAGTGGCTCCGCTGCCCTTGTATTAGCAACATGGGACATGGCAGGGGGTGCTGGCTTGAGCTGGGGGAGCTGTGTTCTCATCGAGGCCCAGGCACTGACTTGTGGTAAAGGACACAGCATGACCTTGGGGAGGCACTGCGTCTGTATGGGGCTTGACAGAAACTTCACTTTAAACCATATGGACCCTACTGTGGGTCTGGGATTCTGCGACCCAGGGCCCAGGTTTTAAGAGACGGATGAATGAATGAATTCTACTCGGTGGTTTAATTTCTTGTACACTGTGTCATTAGTCTCAGCAGGAACCCTAACTGGTAACTAACAGGTAGTTATTTTATGGGGAGAATAATTAATCTATAAATTCCTTTCCTAATTAAAAAAGGCATACATTTAGTCCAAACCATGTTTCTATGTATGACTTAATCAGGGCAGTCCATTAAATTTTCATGTATTTGTGGGCAAGGCTGACGTCTCCTTTATTTTTTTCATCTCCTTAATGTGGTGCTTGGCATACAGTGGACCCTTCATGTACGTCTGCTAAATTAACAAGGAACCGGGACGCAGGGCATGAGGGAGAGGGAAGGGTGAGCTTTCCATTGCCTACCAGGTTGCCCGAGAGGCTAGATGGTTATCATATGATAATGACAAGAATAGCAAAAGCAGACACAATTATGTCCTAGTCACTGAGCTATGGTCTTTGCAAACACCATCTCATTTATCTTCACAAAAACCCAACAGCGTTGGGATGGTTTTGATGTCCATTTTACTGATGAAGAAGCTGAGGCTTACAGAGAGGGGATCACTTGCCAGGGTCATGGAGAAAGGCTACAAACAGATATCTCTACAGTACATGAGGCTGAGGGGGTGGGAGCTGGCCCAGATGCCTGGTTTCCAAAATGGGTTCAGGGAACTCAGTAGTTCCTCTGAGCACTTCTGATGGGAAATGGGAGGCTGAGGGTGGCAGCTCAGGTCCTCACTCCGTCTTGATCGCCAGACAAACTAGTGTTTTACATGAGATCTTATTTGACAGACAGGGTTCAGCTGCTAAAAGGTTTGAAAAGCACTGGCCTGTCAGATCGTTCCACCCACGAGAGCCTAGAAATCCAAGTGTTCAGTGTACAGCCCTGTGAGCCCCCACACCGCCAGAGGGCTCAGGCAGAGGGGCCCGGCCTCTGCTGGCCACCTGCCCACCTGCACAAGCTGCACACGAAGCACTTGGGGTGGTAGGTGCGGCCCAGGGCAGAGATGACCTCGCCGGTGATGAAGTCCCTGCAGCTGTCGCAGCGGGTGCCGTAGAGCTGCTGGTAGTCCTGGGTGCAGATGTACTCCTGGTTCTTGAAGAAGAAGCCCGACTGGGCCAGGCCACAGCCACACACTGCGGGGAACAAGGAGAGAATCAAGGGCAGGCTGAGTCCAGGGAAGGTGGGCGAGCACAAGGTTCTCACTGGGGACAAGGCTGACGTCTGACTTGGTCACAAGTGGCCCGAAAATGGTGGCACATCGGACCTCGTGGGGCTAGTGCTCCTTTTTTTTTTTTTCAAGATTTTATTTATTTATTTAATTGAGAGAGAGAGAGAGAGTGAGAGAGAAACAGCATGAAAGGGGAGAGGGTCAGAGGGAGAAGCAGGCTCCCCGCCAAGCCGGGAGCCAGATGTGAGACTCGATCCCAGGACTCCGGGATCATGACCTGAGCCGAAGGCAGTCGCTTAACCAACAGAGCCACCCAGGCGCCTGGGGCTAGTGCTCCTTAAAGTGTGTCCTGAAGACCACTTGCATTGGAGTCACCTTCGGGCTCCTTAAGATGCAGATGCCTGGGCCTGAATCACACTCCCTGGGGGCCAGGGCCCAGGTATTTGTGGTTTAGCGCACTCCCCAGCTGATCCTGACGGGACCACTGGTATTGTACCATCTTCTCAATGCATGGATGAAAGTTTAGGACTGCGTGGCTCACACAAGGCCATACTGGTGGTATTATGAATTGGATAAGATCATTCAGTTAAAATTTCCCTGGGCACTTTCTCTTTGCATGATTCTGTGCTAGGTGAAGACAATTGAGGATGGTAGTAGGATGGATGATTGGAAGTTTATAATCTGCTCTCACCATAGACATAGAGAGTCGGTTTGTTCCCAGGCAAGAATGATAAAACACGATCCCTGAACTGTGAAGAGGTAACAATATATGCCAAAAGACGACCTTATAGAACATACATCATGGGCGATAGGCCATGGGCTGGTTCGGGCAGCAAGTGCTGTGAGTGGGGAGGAAAAGGGAGCAATGTCAGTGGGGGAGGGATCATGGTAGGCTTCTTGGAGGACGGGGCACTTAAGTTGCACTCTGAAGGCAGAAAATGAGCTAAAGCACACAAGCAGGAAGTTGCAAGTGGTATTTGTGTGGAGGTGGGACTGGGGTAGGGGTGGTGTTTTTAGGGACTGGAGGGCAGTAATACAGGAAAATATTGACGGACCAGTTGGAGGAGGGCCTGAGTCCAGCTTTGTGGGATATTGAGAAGCCACGGATGGTTTTTCTCCTAGTTTTTCAAAAACTTAAAAAAATATTTTGAAACTCTCTGACATAAACAAAAGAAGAGAGAAGGCTATAATGATGTCCCATCACCCAGTTGCAAAAATGACCAATTGCATTGATAGCTTTTGCATAGACAGGCAACAAGATGTCATAAGGTCTTATGGGATATCCTTGCGGACAATATGAAAATGTGTAGAACCGATAATAGAGGAGTAGGTGGATGTAATTATAGGTGCTTGAACGACGGAATCATGTGGGACTCCCTACCTCCAAAGGACTTGGAAACGTGGCAAATGAGATTTCCCTCTGAGGGTTAAGTTATGAAATCAACACCTAATGGGAAGGGCAGAAAGAGGCAAAGTCTCTTCCAAGAGATCAAATGGCTCTCAGGGCCACCAGAACTGCTGAGTGTATTGGTCTGGCTAAAGCAGGGGTGGTCAGCTAAGAAGGGGCTGGCCAGCAATCAAAGGAAGGCCATTGGGGAGCCCATCCCAACCCTATGACCAGCCTCCTTGTTCTGAGACTGCATTCACTAAGTGACTGATAGTTTGACTTACTACCTAGACCTTTGGGAAGCAGCTGGTCAGGGCAACGCGAACTAGTACAATGGAGAATGACAGCTCTTATTTCCATTAATAAAAGGGCACTCTGATTTTATACATTGGTTTCTTGAGGACTTGGTTAGCACAGATCAGCTTTCTGAAGCAAGCTCAATGGTGTGGAAACCAATAAGGAATTCCAAGCCTGTCATTGTGGGGACCTGGTCTGGATTGGGTGATGCCACCCCAGTAAATACTACCCCCTTGTTCATAGGGAAAGTGGTAATGCAAAAGCACCCAGGTTAAAGAGAGGATGGACTTCTAGGCGCATGGCAGAAGAATTTCGCAAGTGTGTGTTCACTTTGCAGGCCAGAGGCAGGCTTACGGGGCCAGGATGAGTGAGGAGGAGGGGAGCCCCAGAGGTCACAGCATTAGGGGGACCGTGCAGCACAGTGGGAGATGTATAGTCTGGGAGTTGGGCCACCTGGGCTCTGAGTTTGTCACTGCCATTAACTCTCTGGGTGATAATGAACTTGGTCTCTGTTCACATGTATGTAAAATGAAGAAGGTAGATTAAAAAGTGACTTGAACTTTTCTTCTGACACTGATATGCCATGACTCTAGGAGAAGCAGAGCTTCCTTTGGGGCTTACCAGGTGCCTAAACATTTTAAACTCAGTGCGAGGTGGGGCTGGAGGGCCCTGGAGACCACCCCTGCCTGCAGAGAGGCAGGGGCCTATTAGTGGAGGTGGTGGTGGTGGTTGATGGCAGAGGGTTCATCTTCTACCAGGCTTTGTGAAAATTCATCACATCAAACAATGCCTCAAGAGCAGTCCAGGCCAGAGTACAGGGCGTTCTGGGGTGTGCAGGTGGCAGATTGATTGACTTCATGGCTGTGGAATTAGTGAGGTCATGGCCTACGACCTCATTGGAAATAGGTCCTGTTTTTTTCCTTCTTTTCTCTCCTTTGTTTCCCCGGCCAGCTCCACCCCCAGAGCCACCTCTCCCAGTGGACAAACCCAGGAGGTCATAAGAAAACCTGGAACAATCAGTTCCTCCATTTCCCCCAAGGAGTTAAAGGAGGAAGTTTTTGGTAGAAAGGATGTAAAGGTTGATAAGAATCTCAGGGGAACACGGGGATAGAAGGCAAGTCGGACAGCAGGACCGATGTATTTGAGGCTGAGCAGAGCCTGACATCCAAATAACAGGAAAGGCCCTGGAGAGGGTCTACAGTATGGAATTGATGTGGAATTTAACACAACACCCAGGACAGGCATTATTCTGTGAATCCAGAAAATAAAATCTATTAATTTAGAAAAAAAAAGCAGATCATTTGGTTTGACAGTGGGACAGGATATGAGAAGTTAGAACTGCTTTGAGAAAATCCAGAATGAACGTTCACTGTTAGTATAATGCCCAGAAAGAGACCTTGCCCACAGTCACCGCGTGTTTCATGGGAAAACGGACTGTGTTGGGGGTCGCTGGACCGTGGTCCATGCTTCTATTCTACCACTCAGGTGCTGCGTGGCTTTGAAAAAGTTACCCCACCTCTCTCGAGCTCAGCTGCCTCATTTGTGAAGTGAAGGGGCTATGTGGTAACTGAGAACACACCCAGACCCGAGAGTCCACAAGTCTGTCATAGGATTCTGTTGATTTTCAACTTTTCAAATGAGACGGAGTTTTATGGAATTTCAAAACCAAAGTGTTAGAAGGGCTCCTGAGGGTGATCTATTTAACATTTAAACGTTTAACTGTGAACTATATTATACATACAGAAAATGTAGTAAATATACAAACACCATTTAAAGAAGAAGAATAAAATGCATTCCCAGGTACCCGCTCCCAAGTTTATGAAACAGAACATTCCCGGTGCCTCAGAAGCCTGTTTGCATATCCTGAAAGCATCCCCTCCCCATGTTGTCCCTAATTGTGTGTTTGTCATTCTCTTGCTTTTCTTTCTACTTTGACCACCTCTGATGTATCCACAAATTATGCATTGTTTAGTTTTGCCCTTTTTGAACTTTATATTGATGGAACCCTACTGCATTTATTCTCCTGTGCTTGCTTCATACTTTTAGGATCATGTTTTGAGATTCGTCCATGTCGATGTATGTAACTGCATTTTTCAGTAACTGTGCTGTATCCCATGGTCTGTATCACAATCGATCTACTCCACTGTTGAAGGACATTTGAACTGCTTGCAGTTTTTGTTTTGTTTTGTTTTGTTTTATGGAAATGCTGCTTTGAACATTCTTGTATCTGTGAGGTGAAGCTTCGCCGTTTTCCAGAGTTTTTCCCATTTGCATTCCTACCAGCAGTTTCCACTGGTCCATATCATCATTGAAAGCTGATAATATATGTAGTCAACATGGTGGCTATAAAATGTCATCTTATTGTGATTTTATTTAATTTTTTAAAAACACACTTTTCTTTCCTTGTTTTTTCTTTCTCTTTCTTTCTTTCTTTCTTTCTCTTTCTTTCTTTCTTTCTTTCTTTCTTTCTTTCTTTCTTTCTTTCTTTCTTTCTTTCTTTCTCTTTCTTTCTTTCTTTCTTTCTTTCTTTCTTTCTTTCTTTCTTTCTTTCTTTCTTTCTTTCTCTCTCTCTCTTTTGAGAGAGAGGGAGGATGCATGTGCACGAGCAGTGTGTGTGTGGGAGGGGTAGGGACAGAGGGAGGGGGAGAGAGAGAATCCCAAGTAGGCTCCATGCCCAGTGCGAGCCGGACTTGGGGCTCGATCTCACGACCCTGAGATCATGACCTGAGCTGAAATCAAGAGTCAGACGCTCAACCGACTGAGGCACTCAGGTGCCCCATCTTACTGTGATTTTAAATTTCACTTTAAAATGTTCACTTCCCTGATTTTTAATGAAATTGAGAATCTTCTTATATGTTTATGGGCCATTTGTGCTTTTAGGGTTCATCCACGTGGATGTATTGCTGCAAAATGTTCCACCACATTTTATTTATCCATTCATTGGTTGATGGGTATTTGAATTGTTTCCAATTTTTGACTTGATGAATAATCCTACTATGAACATTCATGCACAAGTTTTTGCATGGACATATGTTTTTGTTTCTCTTAAGCATACATCTTATGACTTTGAAATTGTTAAGTCATATGGTAACTCTACATTGAACTCCTAGAGGAACTGCAAGACTGCTTTCCACAGCAGTTATGCACTTTGCATTCCCACCAGCAATGGAGGAGGGTTCCAGTTTCTCCACATTCTTGCCAACGTTTGTATTCTCTGTCTTTTTGAATATGGCCGATTTCATGGCGTGACATGTGCCTCCATGTGGTTCGATGTTCATTCT